ACATACTTTTGGGCAAGAGTGGGGTTGGTGGAGCCGTTGCTTTTCTTCCCCTTTGCTGTATAATTTAATACTGAGCACTGGGGAGGGGAGCTCAGTTTGGGAGGAAAAAAGAAAAGCACACTGAGCTGTAGTAGTAGCTGATAGCATGTCCACTATTTAGTGACCTCCTCAGGGAACATGGTCCTCAAGTGGACAACCTAGACAGATTGCTTAGATGCTTTGATTGCAAGTGACAGGAGCCAAGGGGATTCCTGCAGGGTAAAAAAGAGTTCCTTGGAATAGCATGGGCCCTCACTGTACCATGGATGTTCTTAGAATCCAGCCCAGGGAGAATTCAGCGGCTCTCCCTAGCCTAGGTAGGCACGAATGCATTTAATTTCTGGTCACTGCTTAAGATTCAAGGTCCTCTAACAAGCATGCTGTTGGCATAGCTGGAGACTCGCTTCCCAGGTAGAGGAGAGGCTCATCACTTTACAGGTCCCCAAGGGTTAGCAATAACAGGGGAAAGTTTTCTGTAGGTAAATGGAGGGGATTGAAGCCCAGGTAGGCAAAAAAGATCCCTTGTCCATTTGTCTCAGACAGAGCAGGACTTGAGATGGGGGGTACAGAGATTCCTCAAGAGCGGACAAAAGCTCCACTGTTAATGGGATCAACAACTATCACAACGTGTACCCTGGCTTTGGTGAAGAAGCCCACCCTTCCTGGTTTTCTCTGTAGTGGGCACAGGGAGGCAGTGGCCTGACCATGCCTGGGGACTGTTGGCACCTAGGACCACCAGGGAGCAGTGACTGATGGGCTTCTTGGGCCAGGAATTTCCCACGTTCTGGGTGGCTCCTGAGAGCCAACAAGGGTTCTGCCCTTCAAAGCACCCTAACCCAGTGGCATCCATTTCCTCATCAGACATCAGAACTTTATAAAAGCAGTGCCTATGTCACAGATAGTTATAACGCTCCTACAGCCCTTGAGACCAACCAGTCAGTGCCCCGGGGATGTGAGATGTGGCTGATATTCGTTAGTTTCTTTCTAAGGATTGAGGGGTTCTTGTCGGCACATGGTACATCAGAGCAGGAAGAAAACACGGAGCCCACTGAAAAGCTAGGTGTTAAGTAACCGGCCCGAGCTCAAGCTAAAGGCAGTCTGCTGGACACGGAGACCCTCCTCATCCTGTGGACCTGGGGAGCAGAGTGCAGGTTCTGTCTTTGCTATAATGGAATAGGGGAGCACCAGGTGCTTGCTGTTAATACGATCACCCATCATCCTGTTAATCCCTCAGGCACACTGAGACCACAGCTGTCCCATTCCCAGCTCTAAGGAGACTTAGGCCCAGGAGGCCGATGGCAAGGTAACAGAGCCAGGGTGGGGCCAGCGTCTTTTCCAAGACAATGGACCCAAGGTCCCTGCAGCACACAAAATGTGTCAGATTCAGACAAGCCCAGCTGGCTGCTAGGCACACAGGCAGCTGTCTGGTGGTCACAAGTTTTGCCCACTGGCTGCCCCTCCTGCTAAGGAGATCTGACATCCTCTGGGACAAGTTTGCCAATGTGGCAACCTTGCCCCAGCCTCTGCATACATCTTATTTTCGAGGTGTCAGCTGCCTGGATAGGAGTCTTTTGGAGACAATCAGAAAATCCAGAAGGGACAGAGGTTGGCTTTGCACAAGCACTCCTGAAAGCCGTTCTCATTTAAGGAACAACCATACCCGACTGCCAGCCTTGGCTCATAACAAGCCCCTGCGCCAGCATCTGGATTTAGTTCTTCCCCCAGAGTCTCCCTAGCTCAGCTCAGTTGCCCTCCAGTTCAAACTGATTTTAATAGCCTCCCTTCCCCTCTGCATTGGGCTATTGATTTTCATTTTGCAGACTGACGTTAGCGGTGAACCACCATATCCTGAAAGTTTTAAAAGGGTCTCATTCTGGTTTAAAGCTTTCATTAGTACAATTAACTTCCAATACATTGCGCAAATATTTCTTCATGAGTACCTTCTAACTGGTTTGCCATCCAGATGGTTTGGAAATCAAGGAATCTGCTGTATTCGCCTTGAGCTGGTTATTTTGAGTTTAGAGATGATCGCCTCTGTCAGAAGATAAGTGGAACAGCTGGCCAGGAGGATTCGCTTGGGACTCGCCAAGTGGCAAGAAGAGTTTCTGGAGATAATTTTCTTTGTTTTAAATAATTAAGATGATTACTGATCTCTACTCACATTTGATCTTTCCAAAAAGATGTACTTTAAGTTAAATTTCTTCCCTATTTGGGAAGAAATTGTGGGATTTGAAATGGAACCCCACATCAAGACTAATTTATTATGGAACAGCCTGTCATTTTGTCCTGGTTAATCTGTCTCTAAACGATTACTTGCTATCACTGAGTATATGGTTACAGATAAAAGCAGAACCAACATTAGAAAAAATATACACATGTGTGTGCGTGTGCACACACACACACACACACACAGGAAGAAGAAGCTGTGGTTTCTTATTTTCCTCCTAAAGCATAAATTGTTGAATAAGGAGATTTTTAAAAGCCGAAATTGCTTTGGAGAGAACCAAACCTGGCAGCTGAATAAATGGCCCCAGACACATCTGGCATTCCGGGACTGGGCGAAAGCAGGTTCGCTGCAGTGGGTAACTGCACGTACCCTGGCCTCACTCCTGCCATCCACTGCGACAACATTGTCAAAAACAGGACACTGTCAAATACAGGCAGAGGGAGAACAAGTGGGAAAAATCAGCGTCCAGATTAGGAGCCACCTAGGTTGCGTTGTTTTTCTTGAGGCCCCACTGTGCCCTTGATTTCCTGATTGTTCCGGAACAAGAATAACAAAGTCCATCCAATCCAGTGATTTGGAGAAAAAAATTCATGTGGAAAGCGACCAGTTGAGGTTGATCTGTCTACACTAATGGTTCTCGGTTGGGGGCAATTGTGCCCAGAGGACACCTGGCAATGTCTGGAGACATTTTTGGTTTTCATGATTGGGAGGGGGCCACTGGCATCCGGCCCCCAACCCCCCAAAAGAATCTGGCTCCAAATATGAATTGTGCTAAGGCTGAGAAAGCCTGATGTGTGTGTGTGTGTGTGTGCGTGTGCGTGTGCGTGTGTGTGCGCGCATGTGCCCTCAATCTGAATTTGTGAGGCAGGGCAGCTAGAGTGTCATTCATTCTACCCAGAGTTTCTGGAATGAAGTTCAGGGCTGCCTCAGCTCAGGTACCTGGATTATACAAGCAGCAGAAGGATTAACTGGGTTCTGTTTCCTTTCACTGAAGCAAAAGGATCTTGTGATCTGGGGATGCAGCCAGAGGGACAAAGGACTTCTGAGAACAGAACCCCAGAGAAAATGGTGCCTGGCTTAGAACTGGCAGCTATGAAAGTGGCCGGCACGGACTCATTGCCTTCCTGGCCTCTGCATCTGACCTGCTGGCTGGTGGGCTCTGGAGTGGGCTTTCTGTTCTCATGAGCCCCCTGGACACCTCCGGCGTCTCTCCTGTAGAATCCGTGTGACTTGCATGGCGAAAGGTCACCTATGAGTGAAGCGGCAGACTCCCCAAGAGCAAGCCCCAGTGCTAAACTTCCAGTGATTTTTATTGGCATGACGAGAAGCCTAGGGCCTGCCAAGGACAACAGCCCTGTGCGGTGACCAAGACCGCAGGTTTTAGGGGGTAATGTGTCCTACTGCTCTGGACGGCCTCAGCGCCCCTGGCTGGGAGAGCTCAGGGAGCAGGAGGAACAGACTAGTCTCGGTCTCCCTCCCCTCCCCATCTGGATACCCAGCCCCGAGTCCCAGCTGCCCCAACACCCTCTACCGCATCCAACTTTCTAGGAAGCCAATCCGGCTGCTTGGCTGCTTTTGCCAGGATGGGGCTCCGTGGCACAGGGGTAGCTGTGTGACCTCTCCCATCCAACAGAGCAGGGAAAGCGGCCCTTGATGAATGTCCCTTTTGATTGGCTGCATCTGCAACTCTTCAAACTGCAGGCCCGAGCTCCCATGACCCTCTGTTAGGCCCTTTCATCTTTTCTCAAAACATCTTACATAGACATTTGGGGCTGGGAAGAAAAGGCTGCGGTTAAAAGCTCTGGTACCAGACCACATTTTGCTCTGCGCCTATGGACGGAAGTGGCCATGGATGTGGGCAGCTCATCCCACTGTAGGACTTCACCACAGGTGACCTCGGCTGCCATGAGCCCAAATGCTTGCTTTGGTGCAGGGGACGCCTGGCACCAAGCACGGGGTTGCTCCCGTGGGCCTCCTTGTACTCTTACAAGACTTCCAGGAGCTTTAGAGCTTTCGTGAGCCCATTTGACAGGCCCAAAAATTGAGACTGAGAGAGCTGATGGGTACCCATATGGATTGATGTGAAGCTGATCTCCACTTCTGAGGCAGAAACTCTGGCCCCAGGGCTGGAATTCATAGCCCTTTGGTATGTGAAATTGCCTGGGGTTGGCACGCTTTGATGGCTGTGATTATTATTGTCACTTTTGCCAGTGGTGACTTAGCCCTTATGATGGCATAGTGAAGGCTGCTGTCCTTTGTAGAGAGTCCTGAGGACCACTGGGTGGTCATTAGCCCTAGAGAAGGCTTGGTTTCCTTTACAAGGGGTTCCTGGTGCCCGCGTCAGGCCTCCTGGGCACCACCCTAAAAGTAGCAGCACCATTTCCCGCTCCCTTTCCCCCTAATTCCGCTGCAGCAGATGCCCTAGGCACCCATAGCTTTCAGATTTAGAGGGACCCTAACCCGAGCTTGTCCCTTGGGATGCTGGCATACTCTTGCGTGTTTTTTTTGGAGGTGCCAGCACCCCTGGGGTGCTGCAGTCCCAGGAGCAGCTCCCAGCACCCAGAGGACAGGCCCAGGAGTGTCCCGTGGCACCGCAGGTGCCAACCAGGTGAGGCTGAAGAACAACCGGCCACCTGCATGGCCAGCAGTCCCCAAAGGCCCCATGGACCGTCAGAGCCCGAGCTCCCTCCCTTCCCGACCTCAGGGCGAACCGGCGGACGAGGCTGGCACCTACCTCCCAGCAGCACCAGGACGCACGCGTAGGGCAGCATGGCTGCGGGCATCCCGTCGGGGCGGCGTGGCCAGGCTGGGTCCCGCGAAGGCGGCTCGAGAGTCCGGCGCTCACACGCGCTCACCTCGGGGCTGCGGAGCTGGAAGTGGGGCCGCGCTCACAGGTCGGGCGCCAGAAGAGGTGGAGACGCCCGGCCAGAGCGCTCAGCGCGGCGCGGCGCGCAGGGCCCCTCCTGCCGCGCAGACCCCTGCCGACGCCCCTCTGTCCCTTGGCCCTGTCTCCCCCAAAGTCTTTTCAGTGGGCAGGAAAGTTTCCCCCGACTCTGGTCTCTGCTAAGCCAGAGCGGTGCCCACTGCGCGCCAGAGCGCACCCTGGCCAGGCCGACCCCTGGAGGCTTGGGCGTGGGGTAGGGGAAGCTCCCGCCGGCCCGGACCCCCAAGTTTCTTTTAAGGCCTTGCAGATACTCTCGGAAAAGTCCCGTCAACTTGAGCCCAGCAAGCACAGTAGTGCCGCTAGAGAGGCCAAGCCAGGGCGCCCCGAAGCCAGCAGCAGCAGCTCTCTGTAATTAGCTGTCCCCAGCTCGGCCGCGTCTAGGTCTAGGCAAAGTGTGGAGCCGCGAGGGCGGGTTTCCTCCCTGCCCCAACTCCTCCTCCCGCCCCCACCCCGCAGCTCCCCTCTGGGTGAGTCAGCTTGGGGTGGCAGCTCTGAGGCAGGCAGGCAAGGCAGCTGCGAGGGGGAGGACAGCAGGATGCCTCCCAACTGGTCCCTGCAGATCCCAGCCTGGCGCTGGGCCTCCCTGGTGGCATCCTGTTTGGCAGGAAGGCCTTGGAGAAAGGTGTGCGGGCACCTGGGAAGGAGAACCCTGGCAACGCGTGGATTTATGAATGAAGAAAGAGAATCACTTGTAAGGGAACCGTAAATCTGGCTGGTTGCTCCCAGTATGGATCATCGCGGTAACTGGGGTGGGGGCTGAGGGCGGCTGGGCCCGGGGTGCGGGGATTCCAAGGCCCATTTCCATGTGTTGCCATGGCCAGGAGAGGGCAAGGGGGTTGAAGGAAAAGGCGTGGGTGAGGAGCGCAGCAAGAAAAGACAGAGCTGAGAAAAAGAGAGAACAAGAAAGAAACAGAAAAGGACAGAGGACGAAAGAGAGAATACAGGGAAGAGAGGACAGGGCCTGTCCCCCTCCCCCAGGCAGGCTGTGTCTGCAGTCAGCCTGCCCCTCCGCAGGGTTAGTGGCACTTCTGGGCTGGTTTCCCAGAGGCCCAGGGCAGCCCCACCTCGCCTTTGGATTTCTTACCGGAAACATAGGTGAGGCTCCCAGGGGCTGCACAAGCCCAGTGCCTTCCACGCCAGGGACCCCCAGCTTGGACCCCTGGCCACCCTCGGTTCCCTGCTTGCCAGAGGCTGCGGACACAGCGTGATCCTACACAAATGGAGGCGTGGGGAGCATGACCAATCTCCTTCCTGAAAATGACATTTTCTGCTGTTCATTACTGTAAGCAGCACGAGGCTTGAGGTGGCCTTGAAGAGATCAAGCACGCCATGAACCGTCCTGGGCAGACAACAGCACAAGCCGCAAGCTAGGTGGGTATGAGAGGGACAGCTGGTAGGGGCCCTCGGAGAGTTCTGCAGGGTGATTATTTGTAATTGCATAATTGTGATTATTTGTGGCAATTATGTGTCTTTCACCATGCAAAATTTATAATAACAGTTTAAAAACGACACGCTATTCTGGTCATCGAAGTTGGAGACTGCCTCCTCTGGGGTTTCTGACTGTGGGCATTTTAGAGTCTCAGGTAAAGGTGGTTAATGGCTTGTTGTAGGACGGGGATGATACACTGGTGTCCCAGATGGGATCATAATTCCGTACTTTCAGAACTGGCTGGGCTGCTGGGGCTCCCCTACAAAGTGGGGTGGTGGTGGTGCATGTGCTAAAGGTTGTATTGGCTTATTGATCAGACCTTGAAAGTGTCAGGATGCCTGACTCCATCCTCCAGGACAGCGGCCCTTTCCCAGTCCTTGTGGAAGTCTGGAAAGTTTATGTTTGTAATTCCATCAAAAGTTATTGGAATTCTAGCGAGTTAATTCTAGTCTGCCACTTTGACTGCAACCCATGGCGAGGGTAAAGACACTAAGGCGTATTTGTAGCTGTGGGACTCAGGACGGGGATCCTGAGTCCAGCTAGGGTGATGGTTAACTGGAACAAAGACCTTGGTCCATGGCAAAACCCAGGTTTTATTAATTCATCAAGGGGCGTGACCGTAGTTGTGGCGGGAAGCGTGTGAGAGTCTGTGAGAGCCACGGGTTGAGCCAGATAGGAGGCCTGAAATCACCTCTGAAATATGCAGAAAGTGTATTCTGCATGACACAATTCGAGGCAGTGTCTAACTGATGTCTGGAGCTGAACTGTGGCTCTGTAATCTACTATGCCCTAGCAGGTCACAGCCTCTTAGCTCTTAGCATGAAGAGTGGCTCTCCCTCCGGCCTGCCCGGCTCACACCTGGGTTTTTGGAGCTACGGACCCAGGCACACTGACCTGTCACCTTGCTTCAAAGACTACATGGCAGCACCTGGGCTGGACTGCTTTGCATTGCTTGAAGTCAATTGAAGGGAGAAGGAAAAACCGCAGCCAGTTCTGTATCAGCACATGGAGACAGGGCCAGGTGAACCAAGGTGGAGACAGTGGCTCTTCTTTCGTGGAGGGTCATCTGGGGCTTGGCCAAGTCCCACAGGGACACAGAGCTCAGGACAATGTGGGACACTAGAAGGGACGTGGGCCGGGTGGCAGCTGAACCACCCCTGCCTGCCTGTGTGGAGGGATGTGTGTTTTCACTCCAAAAGAATATGAAACGGGACAACACAAAGACAACGGATAACAAATGGCGTTTGAACAGGACTCCCATCCCTTAGCAGGAGATATTCAAATGAGAATGAAGGAGGAAACCGAAGCTTAGACTCATGTGTTGGCTTCAGACGTATCTTTAACCATGACAAAAACCAAAAGAGAGAGAGAAACAAAGAAAGGAGGGAAGATGAAGGAGGAAAAAGGAAGGAAGAAAGGAAGAGGGTATGCTGTCCAGGTCTTGCCTTTAGCTAGAGGAGCCGTGATGGACACTCGGCTCCTGACTTCCTCCCCATATGCGGAGCCGTCACTGGGGTGGATTTCAAATGACAGCCCCTGGAAGGCCATCGGCGCTGGCTGTGAGATATGTCCAACGGCGTTATTCTCTTTTGGCCTCCAGGGCTGGGCTGACCGCACTGTGAACTGCGGAGGGCTCCCTAGGAGGTCAGAGTGCCCTGCGTTTACTCGGGACATGGGAGTCTTGCAGGGGACAGGAGGTGGGAGGAGCAGCCACAGGCCCCGTGTTCATGAGTGGGAGAGAGGTTCTCGGTCCTGCTCTGTGTGTGTCTCTGCCCCTCCCCGCAAGCCAAAGTCCAGGGTAAGCAGATGGGAAAGCACTGGGGGTCATGCCCTCTCTCCCTGCCCCCCCTCTTCAAACACCTACCTCCCCAACCTTGTCCCTGTTAAAAGCACCGCGGGAAGATAAGATCACCCTCCAAAATCTTGCTATAAAATGGTCTGTTTCCTCTGCTTGTTATCAGGGGTGTCTGATCAAAGAAATGTTGGGGGGAGGCTGGTTATCTAATAACCAAATAAACATCAGGCTGCCTTCCTGGGCTGCTCTGAATGAAGTCAGGGCCAGGCCAGAGGAGGATCCAGCCTTCTCAGATCCTGAAACTCCCAGGAGAGAAGTTGAAGGTCGCATGGCCGGGTGCAGTGGAGCCTGGACAGGAGTCTGGGGTTGGAAGTCTCCCTTCTCGTTCTGACTTTAACTGCCTGGGTCCTGAGTGCCTTCTGGTCTACCTCCCCCTGGGTGCCATATGGGGACATTCCCTGGGCTCCTGGGGGCTCTCAACAGTCACCCTATCTATACCAGGCTCAGTCTCCTTGTTTTAAGCAGCTGTTGTGTGCATCGAGAGAGCACAGCATCAAAGTGCAGAACCCGGCAGCTGGCACATAAGTGGGTTGTTATGAAGGAGTGGATGGACTATTGGACCGTTGGAGGGATGGATGGATAGGTGCACGGATGAACGTGGAGGTGTGTAGGTGGATGAATGGATGGAGGGCAAATGGGTGAATAGGTGGAAAGAGGATTAATGGGTAGATGGATGAATGGAGGTTGGTGGGTGGGTGGATGGATGGATGGATGGATGTCTAGATGGATGGAATGATGGGTGAGTAAGTAGATCGGTGGTTAGGTGGGTGGACAGATGGCCAGCTGGATGAACGGGCAGAAGGACATAGACTAGCATTGTAGTTGTCACCATTATTCTGGGTGGTGCCCAAGCTGAATGGTTTTATTTTATCATCACATTCCCCAATTTGTCAATAATTCGTTAATAAACATTAACTCACCGAGGGACTGCCACCTCCCACACTGTGGAGACACATCTTAGTCCTGTAGTCAAGGGTCTCTTTTCTACAAAGGTAGGCTGTGCTTTCCCCGTGTCAGCAGGTACAGGCCAGCCTGAGGGCTCGGTGCTTAAACTCTGGTTGGTGAAGAGCAAACACTTGTCACCCACCTTGCCTCTGTGAGAGGGTGCATGTTTTTTTCTTTTAAAATTTCTGATCCTCAGTCTAGCCTGGTTCCCTAACTGATGCCAGGGCTTTGGTGACTGGGTGGGCAGGCAGGCAGCGGGGCAGGGCATCCATAGCCTGTCAGCCACACAGTTCCCAGCTGGTCCCTCTCTTCATTGTGGCGGTGGGATGTGGTGGCTCCCTCTGTTCGTGACAATGACAGTTTGGAGCTATTTAAAATAGACCTAGTAGAGAGAGTCTTTAGAAGAATGGGGTGGAGCAGGGTATTTTCCTCTAGAAGCAAAAAAGTTCAGCGTGAGAAAGGCTTCCTTGGTGTTGGGCTGGAGTGGCCGCCCTGTCCGGGTGAGGAAGCCTGGGGTATCTAACAGAGTTCCTGTCTTGGCCCTGTTACGCATAATATGTGCGCTTGGGCACCTTCTCTGAGCCTGGTATTGTTAATTAAAATGTGAGAATGCTCTGAGGGTTTGGGAATGAATCAGCAAGATGATGCCAGGGAGGACATCAGAGTAGGTTTTCGGGGAGACAGTGGCCCTTATGATCATTTCAAGGGGCTTGCAGCTGTGGGTGCAGACCCCTTGCTGAGCGTGGCACTGTAGAGCATTGAGCTTGGGAGGGCTCTGGAGATCATCAGAGCAGCTCCAGATGGTCCCACGGATCATCCCAGTGGGGAGGACAGGGAAGGGAGGCAGAGAGGCTGTCCCTGAGCCGCGTCCCTCCCTGGCCTGAGCAACTCCCCTGCAGGATCTGTCTTAGAGTCATCAGAGTGCTCCTTGGGGTGCAGGTGGGGGACCCCCTAATTGTCTGTCAGATTTGAGGACTGTTGGAGCGACACTGGGGAGAGATTTACAAAGCACAGTGCCTCGTGAAAGGAGCACCCCGTGGAAGCTCACTCCTGAAGACAGAACACAACTGCACACAGACACGACATGCTTCTGGGACACGCACACACATGCGTGTGTATCAGTACATCAGGGAAGTTCAAGTGGATCCTTTTAGAAGCAAGAGGAAAGAAGTGGAGAAAAAAACCTGAAGACAAATGGAAGATCTAACAGAGGCCAAGCTCCAGGAAGATCAGTGTAACTTTCTGTGGCTTCAAAAATAACAAGAGCAAAAAGAGAAGGTAAACCTCCGCCTCCTTCCTGACCTGGGAAACAGACAAGGGGGATGGGGTGCAGCAAGCCGTGCTGGGGACCCCGAGCCTCTGTACTCCCCACTTCTCGGGGCTTTTCCTTTGGCGCCACTCAGCCAAGATGGCAGAGCCCGGACAGGAGGCCCCCGCTCCGCCTGGGCGTGTTTCTGGACGCGCTGCTCTGGGGTGCAGCTCTCTGCCCCCAGTGCTGCTCCAGCTGGGTACCAAGAAAGGGCGAATCTACCAGGCTGAAAATCTCGGCTTTGCTGGAGGACAGAGACAAGTCAATCTGTGCGGCTTCAGACTGTGTGGACTGTGAAGTTTTTAGTTAACCTCCCATAGAAAAATGAATACACGCCCCTGGAATAGTTCACTATTTTAAAAGTGCAAAGTTCATTATTTCTCTCCCATTGTAGAATTAGTGATGTTCCTAATATACTGTTAGGAGAATACAGAAAGAAGTAAAGTACCATTCGAGCAAACTCCTACTGTGTGGGGCCAACCCTTGCTGACACTTGGGTGTAAAATTATTTTATATGTATATATATATGTATATATATATATGCTCCAAGATATGTACATCTCCAAATATATGTATTTCTCCATATAACGCTCTCCAAATAGATCTCTGAGTATGTTTTCTCCATAAATATACACACATATAAATATATTTCACCACATATACGCTCCACACATACGTGTTCTCTGTATATATAGGTACAGGTGGTTTGATGTATGGTCAAAGCTAGTCCCTAAATAAAGCACCAATTCCCCAATTTCATCATTTGAATTTATTTCCCAGATTTTAAGGAAATGTCAGGTGTGAGACCATGAGTAGAGTAGGGGTACAGAAGG